AAAAACGCTTCGATTGCGTTTTTCTCCCCAACGCGTTATGCGTGTGCATTCAAAGGGCAGGCAATTATTCAAATGGCATGGCTGCCGATCTGCATTCTACTCTGTGATGGTCTAAAGTGAAGGGCCCAATGCGTGTAATGAGCGCATTTTGTTGTATAGCTTTTGTTTTGTTGACAGGATCTCTTTCGGTTGTTGTTATTGTTGTTCTTGTCTGTGTTGTGTAGATGTTACTTGAATATAAGCAAGAAACACTCTGCAGTAGTCGATATTCATTGAAATCAAACCAATTTTTGTACGACGGAAATGTTCGCGAAGGTTTTTAGTTATCCGGCTCGTCTGTCTTGATCGATTTTCTCCCGGAGAGCTCTCATTTTCCTGGAATGATTGGTTCTATGAGACATTCTTAGAAGTGGTCGGAATCGCTCACGCGACTCGTATGAATTTGCGCACCTTGCTGTCTACTAAATAATGAAACACAAGCTACAAACTGAAGGAAAGTCTCGCTGCCCGCGGACGGCAACGAAGAATCCGGAGGTTGTTGTAAAGGCAGTGGGCTGAGTTAGGAATCTTGATGTTGTACGTCGTGATAAGGGGTCATTTATCGGCACTGTCGAAGAGGACAGAAACCACTGACACTAATATCCTACAACCCAATCATGCTCCCAGGTTCAACCTTCGTGGTGCAAACTGAAACTATCTAATTCAGTTTCCAGATTTATGCTGATGTTATAAAACTGTATGGAGTCTACGACTATTCCAACCGTGACAGTGTCTTTACCTCTCTCAGACTAGCTATAGAAAAGCTTAGTTCCTGGGCGTCTGATCCTGATTCAGCTGTGAATCTATTAGGCAACCAAAAAAGTTCGTGCGGTTTTTTTTGTTCACTTTAATGAGATATGTTCAGTAAACTGGATTTAGTGGTAGGGGGACAATGCTAGACCACACCCTGCAAGAATCACTCAGGAAACAATAGCGCGACTAGGATGGGAAATTCTACCTCACCCTCCGTACTCGCCAGACCTTGCTCCAAGTGACTATCATCTGTTTTTGGCCTTGGACAACCACATGAGGAATCGGCGATTTGAAAATGAAGTGGCTTTGGACAACGAACTAAAACATTTCTTTGATTCCCAAAGCAAGATTTTTACAAAAATGGAATATATGCTCTTGTGTCTAAATGGGAAAGTGTATTACTTGCTGAGGGTAATTATTTTACGGGATAAATCCAAGTTTAACCCTTTTTTATGTTATTATTTCGCTACCTTCAAAACGCACGAACTTTTTTGGTTGCCTAATAAATAAGTGTTACGTGCTTCATATCGGAGATGAAGCTCCCAGGATCTATGATGTCAATGGTGTCACTTTGAGGAGTTCCGAGACTATTAGGGATATTGGTATTCTTATTGACTCTTGCCTGAAATTTTCATCTCAGGTTGATTATTCGGTTAAAGGCAGTTGGCACGATGGTTTCCTACTCGGCCTAAAATGCTAGTAGGGCGCTATATAGTGGGGAAATGGCGAAAGAACGGAGTGAAACGGTCAAAATCCTGCGAAGAAAAAGCCTCCGTTCTCACTTGTAAATCGATTTCGGACGAGTTTCCCGTAGGCATCTTGCCAATCACCGCTACCGAAGGTACGGCTGCATATGTGTACCCATGCATGCAGCATCACGGCCGCTTCATACCAATCCCTTCGTTGCTTAGCAAATGAATCGATTAGAGCGTCAGGAACGGTCGTCCATTTGTGGGCGGGCGGGCGTGGCGGGCGTTTGGGTCGGTAATGTTGTGGCTTGATAGGGCCCTTATAAGGGCACCTCCCTTGGAAAAGGCATTATGCAGCGCCTGCTCAGGGTCGCGGAATTCCGTCCTGCCAGGCGTATTAATCCCAGTCGTCTTGGGGGATTTATCGTGCCAACTGCCTTTAATAAGACGTATAATGCCCTTTTTAGTATTTTTCGCAACATTCGCAGCGGCAGACCTGAAATCCTTCTTCGTCTATACAAGGCCTATATTTTGCCCTCATCTAGAACATTGCTCTCAAGTTTGGAGCCCAGTTTGTAAAAAAGACCTACTTCAAAATTGAAAAAGTCCAACATATGGCCACTAGGCTGATTTTTATCCGAATGAATAAGGGTGTTCGCCGGCGTAACATCCCAAAGCTACGGTGAACGGTTAACCTTGTTTGGCCTAAAAACCTTGCAATATAGAAGAGTTGTGTCCGACCTAGTTTTTGGATTTCGCATCCTTCGTGGAGAAACTAAGCTAAAACCCAGTAGATTTTGGGTATTCAGACCTAGTAGCGAAAGAGGAAATGGCTTCAACTGCATTACTCTAGGATCCAAAACAGGAATTTCGCTCTCCTATTCAACTTTCCCCTATACCGCGTGGCTAGATGGTTTCGGCTTTTACCTAGGGAACTTATGAGCTCCGAAAATATCAGATTTTCAAATCCAGATCGAAGCGATCGAGCGAGAGATTGACTTGTTGCGTGCACTGAATATTGATGATCTGTATTGATTTGTTCAATTTCAGAAAGAGTCTAGTTCTATAGTTTCTTTTATCCAACCAGGATTTTCTTCCTACTGGAGGTGGATGTTATGTCATAAAGAAAAGCTATCACAAGATTTGGCATGGATGAAATTTTGACACATTTGAAGTTCTTGCTGTGTGCAATATGTTTACCAAGGATTTCGTCCCATTTTCTTCGTGGAATCGAAGGCATAAATCACGATTATCATTGATATTCTTGTTTTCACCATATCTGTAAGAAGGAGGCACACTGGCTATCTAAACTGAATCCTGAGTGTTTTTTCTTGAATTGATTACATTGATCACTTGTTCCACTGTAGTCTGATGATCCTCAAATGTGTCTAAAGTAATTGTTATCCTCAAAGGTTTTCCGAGCAGATGAAACCCTCTGCTTGAGGTCCCTCGCCTGTTCGCCTGGGGTCCTGAACGGATGCGTTCGTTCGGGTTAAACCGTCAGCGGGCCCCAGTATTACGACAATCTTGCGTTCTAGGTACGAGGTCGATCTCGCAGCTGGCCTCATCAACTGTCAAGGGGAGGACTATATTACAAGTGTTCAATTATAATCTTCACTTATAACCTTTTTTCTCTTCTCAGGAAGTAGTATGAATAGCGTGTGATCCTTCTCTCTGTCTTAATGTTTAGTTGAAATATTAAGTTTCAGCGAGTTTATTATAGTGTAGCAATTTGTGGCACACCTTATGGTGTAAATAAATAAATAAATAGATAAATAAATAAATAATTCCATGGCTACACAAGTCCAGGTTGCTGTTGACTCAATGAGTCAATACTGAAAAGTCGGAACTCTAAATTGCTATACAAGCAGAGTACGCCGCTGAAAGTCAAAAAATGAGCAAAGATAAACACTTGAACTCGAACTTGTAGGAAACGACAATTCGGTACACGGCCTAAATTAGTAGCAAGGGTGCTATATTGGGGAATATTAGGTCATCCCATTCAAAGTGCCGTCGG